ATTTGTAACTGTCCTTGAGTAATGTTACTGTGAAATAGGCTAAATTGATGTCATTTGGCCAGAGCAAGTTTAGTATCTTATGAATTGGACTGCTAAAAGATAGCAAGATTGTTTAGGAAAAAAAAACCTATTAAATATTCAGTGGGATATATTTTCCTCTAAACTCATCTCCTAAAGGGAAGGACTTCAGCCTTACAATTTATAACTGTCCTATTAATGTAAATTAGCAAGTGATTCAAGTAATAACTGAGAAATAAGAAACTTAACATTCTAAAATACTACAGAAAGCAGGCCTCTGAAATCCTATAAAGTAATCTTTAAGAACTAGAAAAGGGCTTGGCATGTGGTAGGCACTATATAAATGAACCATTGTCACCTCTTTAATCAACTGTAATTACACCATACTGGATAACTTTATATATGGTTTTGGATGTCATTGGATGTGATTAATAAGATACCAAAGGAGATAAGATAGGTGATTTCCCCTGTAACATAATTTTAAAATGCATCCCACTGGATTATTGTCATGTGACTAGCAATAAATTTCATGTGCTAAATACTTGATAATGGATATATAGTCTTTTCTCTTGAATTATAAAAACTGAAAATAAATTGTTAAGATAAGTTACTTCCCCTTTTGATCTGAATGTTGTTAGTCCATAAATGTATCTGTTATAAAATGTGACAAATATGTTGGAAAACAATTATTAATGAGGTATTTTTGTTTTAAATTAAAAAAAATGATAAATAACACTGTTGGGAGAAAAGCATAGGAAAATACTCTTTGTGAGTTGTTTTGTTTTGTTTTGTTTTTTGGACTTCCTGCTTCACCTGTTATAGCATAAGACCTTACCAGCCCTGCTGGTAACATGTTGTCAAACTCTGAAATACTGCAGTTTAAGGAACTAGAACCTCTCCCAGCCAAAGCAGGAAATTTATGAATTCAGCTTTAAATTGGAAATGAGTTTCATCTGAAGTCATTTAGATAATCATGAAATTATAATCTGTTAATAATTAGTATGCAGGAAAGTTACATTTTCGAACCAACTATTAACTATGTGTAAACTAGTATTCACTGTATTCATGTAAAACTCCAGAATGTAGTATTTTTGCTGTTTCTCCAACTTATCCAACATTTAACCAGCTTGCATCTCCATCATTTTCTGTGCTAGTTGCTCCCTTTGACTTACTCGGTGAATTAAAGCTTTTTCTAGAACTTAAAACTCCTCTTGGTAGGCTGTATTCTGAAGCCCACCTAAAATGGCCAGATGTACTTTCCCTTCTTTTATCCTAGCTAAAGAGCAGACCAAGGGAAGAGTTTTAAAACCTGTCAGACATTTGTATAGATATACTTTAGGATATATATATGTATATATATATATGTGTGTGTGTGTGTGTGTGTGTGGTGAATTTTGCTTCCAACAACTGTGTTGAATGTATGAAAAGTTTGTCTGTTAATGAATACTGTATGCATTTGAGCCAACAGTATTACAGATGAACACAATAATTATGTCCTGACCTAATATAAGATTAATGAAGTTTTGGTATTTGAGGCAAAATTTGTAGGAGTTTAATTTGATATACTTCTCAGGTGTCAGTGTATGACCTCTCATAAAGCCACTAGTAAAAATGTCAGCAGCTCAATGGGACTGGCATCTGTGAACTCACACCAATGGATATCTGTCCCTGGGGAATACTTGGGGAGTGACCTTAGGAAGACTAAGGTAACGACCCTTGTGATTCAGTTTTCCATGCAAGACCTTTGCCCACGTGGTTAATTCTGAGCCTGGCTGTGACATTCTTTCAAACAGTTTGGCTGCCTGTTAATTGTACCTAAAATCAAACAGAACTAATGAATAGTGTAAATACTGCCGTGTCCCTCCTTTTCTCCTTACATAGAAAATTCCATTGATAAGGGCAAGTGTACAATGATGTCTCATTTTGTCATTATGATAAACATAAGAGATTAAACCTTATTGGGTACTTTTGATTGAATAACATATGCTAGTCTAGTACTACTACTATAGTGAGCAATTATTTTAAATTGTCATTTGAATTACAAATAATGGAGACCAGGAGACTTTACAACTTATAGATATTCAGTTTATGGAAGATTGATACTATGACATCCTTTCATTGTGTCAATATAATAATATCCTCATTAGGGGGGGACTTAGTGGGACATATGACAAATAGTTTTGAAAAAGTGGATTAAGAATTTTGCATGTTAAATTTCCTTGGTAATTGTCAAGAGGGTGAAATTATTTTTCTTTTGAAGCATCTATCTGATAATTTTTGAAAGACTCATTTTCTAATTCAGGTCCTCAGGATATAACAATTGAATTTTTCTGATGTTTCAGGTGAATTATGCTGCTACTACCAGCTGACACTCTATACATGTAAACGTTCATCTTCAGAGTAACAATTTGGCTTTGTACCTCTGAATTATTGCTCCAACCCCACCCCCACCCCCAAACCAAAGGTCTTCATTGTTTCAGACTTGAACCAAAAAGGAAAAGCTAGAATCACTTTAGATCAACGTGCTGCCTTCCTTGATGATGTGATTGAAGAAACCAGCAGTGAGGGCCATGCCCACCATATACACACAAACAGGTTTAAAGACCTCAAATAATTCTTAAGGCTTGGCCCAGCAAGCAAGGGGAGCTTAAATGTCCAGAGATCTGTTCTCATCCTCCCCTGGGGTCCCAGCATTAAGACCATTCTTAGCTCTGGCCTGTGCACAGATGAAAATAAACCTAGCCTTAAGGCTTCACCACCAGGGCAGAAACCCCAGCTTTTGATATGCTGTTCTCACCTCTTTCCTATGTCCCCAGGAGGAAGCAAGCCCTCACACTGTGAGCATACCCGCCCTTGGATAAGTCTGAAGATCGGCATGACGACCCATCTCACCACAGACCATGGCCTACTCAAAATTACATGACCTTTCTCAATGCTCTGGCCCTTGGAAGCCTGGGGGCACATATCACCGATGTAGAGCCAGACTGCCAGCAGGGCAAAAGGCTAATCAGATAGTTTGCAAGCAGTGTGAGAGTGTTAGTTTTGGCAATACTTGACATCCCAATACTAAGGGGTAAATGGTGTCTTCAGTGCTCATCTAGGCTAAAGAGAGATTGATGCTTCTGGAAGTCCTTATTTTATAGTGCACTGACATGAATACATTCAGACTGGACAGGATCGCCCAACTCTCCTCACATGCCATTTTTTTCCCTAGCAAAATGAGCTAAAGCACGAGGTCATACAAATCTGCAGGGAATTTACCAACTTGGCTTAAGAGAAAATTTGAAAGCAATCACTTAAATCATCTTTCCTCCCCAAGTGTGGAATGGAGCTTTGCTCATCCAGAGAGGAAGTTCTCAGAAGAAGGACTAGGATGTGGCACACTCAATCCATCTTTTCCATTTTAGAAACCTTTCCAATCTACCAGGCCTCAGTCTGTGCAGCTGTCACTCAGAGCAAATTCCTGAGGAGGGGCTGGGTAAAAGTTAGCCTGGAAGGGAACAAGAAGCAGAGTGTGGGTGTCCTTGGGTCAAGGGCCATCTCTGCCATCTCTTCAGCAGAGGCGGCTGCCCATGCTTGGTTTGTTCCCCACAGTCTCATCCTGGGTCCTCTAGAAAACATTTGTTATGGGCTTTTTACTTCTTGAGCCTGGTGCACTGGCCAGTGGCATAGTTTATTTCAAAGACTGTGTCAACTAACATGGTGGTGCTTCCTGTGCCATCAGCTTTGTCAAGAACTTCCATGTGCTCACTGAGCTTGATCTGAATGATGTCACCCTGCTCTTGGCAAGGTTTCTCCCTGGATCCTCCATGAAGCCCAGGATGAGTGACTTCTTGGGCCTGGTCACTTTGTTTGCAGTCTTGAACATTTCTTGTGCAGCACACATTTGCTCCTTCATGAGGGATAGCCCTTTGTTGGGTTGCTGCTGTGGGGCTGGCTGGGCCTGTGGCGCCACTGGAAGAGTCTGTGCTGCAGGGGCAATGTCAGGCAGGGTGTAGGGGTCAGAGGTGAGGTAGGTGGAGCAGCAGCTGCAGGAGGAGAGTTGGCATTGGTATTGTACATGGGTGTTGTCTGCTCGAACTGAGCAGAAAGAGTAGTGTTTGGGGTTGCAGGCTCATCTGGATGCCAGATGGTGTGCAAGGTCTCTCGAGCTGAAGGAGCTGGCTGTGCTTCAGAGCTTGGTAAATAGGATGATGATTGAACCACACTCAGAGTTGCAGGCAAGTAGCTTGTAGAAGGTAGTTCAGGCTCATTGCTCAAAGAACCAAGTTTCTGGGTAGAGACAAGGCCAGCAGCATAATCAGGAGTAGCATTTTAGACAACACTTTCTTCTTTGGCTTGTTTTTCCACAACTTCTGTATCTAAAGTCTTTCTTCTTTTTGCCTCTTGGCCTGCGCCAACCATATCAAGCTCTGAAATATCTAATAACTTCACTCCCCCCATTCTTTTCATAGAGGGGTTCGAGAAGGGGGGATTGCAGTCCGGTGTCCAGCAGGGTTACAAACATTGGGTGTGGTTGGGCTTCTGAAAGGAGCCTGTTTCAGAATGCCTTTAAGAGGTGTTGTGGTATCAATTTTTTTGACCAGTGCCCTTCCTTTGGCATGGAAAGGTACTCCAGCTGTTTTCTTGAGCTGCTGGGCAGTCTCTGTGGATTTCTGCAAGAGCTCTGCTCTCAAAGTGGCATTTTTTAGCTTTTTTTTCAGCTGAAAATGCTTCACGGGGGGTGTGAGTGGTCCAGCAAGTGTGGTCAAGGCATTTTTGTTTAAGTACTGACACTCCAAAGGCAACATAGCAAATGCTTCACATTCACTAACTTTTTCTCTAAGCTCTCCTAAAATATACTAAATGTTGGGATTCTGTTCTTCAAGATCAAGGTTAAGTGAACCTGTATCTGGGAAGGATTTTAAAATATCAGCTACCATTAAGACCCAAGATTGCAAGCTGGATAATTTCAGTCAATGCTCTTTTCATCTCATCCACAGTGTGTTGAGGGAGATGCAGGGTCCTGAGCAGCAGCTTCAGCTTCACGGCAGATGAGAGGTTGTGGAAGCAGAGGAGGATATTGTTGATGACCGTGGCCATGAACAACGACGTGATGCTTAGCAGCTCCCACAGTTCGTCTGTTGCTCCCAACTTGTTGTGCAGCCACAGGCCGGTGTCACTCTCCCGCATAGATACCATCTTGGGGGAGAAAAGAGGGGGGAAGCACTCAGCCCGCATCTTATGGAGACACCTACATGCCCAGAGTGAGGACCCCTCAACATGGTGGTGCCCGCCCAAAGGCAGGTGGGCTGACCGAGGATGAGGCCAGAGTTGATCCCCTCCTCTGTTAAAAATATCTGACAAAACAGAACTTAATACAATTCTAGTTTGTTGTGCAACCAGTCTCAAACCTTAATAGCACTAAAATGAACATCACTAGACCAGAGGATTTACATTTTTAGATTGGCAAATTCAAATAACTGAAAAATGAAAAAATTTTGTACCCAAATTTTATATTTGGCATATATAATTACCTAATTTTATTACAAGTTGTTAAAATCAACTGAAAAAATTTCACTCTAGATATTTTCTTTTAGCTGCTCATCCTTCCCCTTATTTCCTCTCTTAGGAGGATGAGCTTCTCCTAGGAACTGTTAACAGCATACTTTTCTATAAGATGATGACCTCTGATAAGTAATTAAATTCATTTAAAAGTTGCTAAAATCATTTCATTTATAACAAAACGTTCTTGGATGGGATATTTAAATACATTGAGTAGTCAGTTTCATGACAGTGCAGATTGAATCAGTTATTTAGAATAAAACACATTTGCCTTTCAAGCCATGCTCAATATCTAGATGGTAATAATAAATGCAAATAAAATAGGCTTTTCTCATTTAGGTAACACTAGATATTCTTACATTCTTTTCCTCAAACCAAAACTGAAGATGTTTTAGGCTTAACACTTAATAGAACAACAGTTTGGTCCCATAAACTTTTCCATCAGTACTCAATTGTCCTCACATTAATTTTAGGAAGAGCTAAAATTTTAGGCAAAATAGTCAAATCTTATACCTGTATAGTATTATAATAGCTCAGATGTCCTCCAGTATTAGCTGAAGAAATCAGGGATTTAATATTGTATTTATACTGATAACCTGCCATGATTATAGAAATTTGCCATAGAAAGAAAGTAGGGATATTGTACAGTAGGGGAAAAATGCTTCCCTAATTTCATGTCAGTTCTAGTCTGGAGTCATACACAAAGTCAGCTGTAGTGAATCAGGCTTAAAAAGCGAGGTATTTTCCATTGAAGAGGAAATGTCATTCTGAACAAATTGAGTCAAGATAATCCCATGCCAAGAGAAATTTTCCCAGCCTAACCTATCAGACCTTCACCTTCACTTTCACCATGAACTATATAGTTCATGGATGTCAATCCCATACAGTTACTGGCATCATGGATCATTGGCCTTGATGATACCTGGAATCAGAGTCGGAATAATATCAATTACAATCCCATTAGGTGTAACAGCAAGTTCCAATGATCAGAGCTTCATACCTTTAGGTGGATTCAGTTATTAAGGATCACATATCCTTGAAAAAAGTTCAAGGTCTATCATTTTATATTTCTAAAGCAAGTCATGTTCTTAGGTTAGCTCTGAAGGGGCTTCTTCCTTCTAGAGCTACTTCTCAGGGTCTAACAGCATGTAGGAAGACTTAATACAAACTAGTTTAAAACAGGCCTATAGGAAGAATGCTTATATTAAGAACACACAATTCACCTGAAAATTCAGAGAATTTTAATTGTTGTGTCATGAAGGTCTCAATTGGAAAATGAGTCTTTGTCTCTCTTAATATTATTAGGTAGATGTTTCAAACAAATTTTTTACATGTAAAGTTCTTTTTTTTCATGTCTTATTCATTTATTTATTTTTAGTTTTCAACATTCACTTCCACAAGATTTTGAGTTCCAAATTTTCTCCCCAACTTGTCCCTCCCCACACCCCAAGATGGCATGCATTCTGAATACCTCTTCCTCTAATCTGCCCTCCATTCTATCTCTCCCTCACCTTCTCTTATCTCCTTCCCCTTCAATTTTCCTATAGTGTAGGATAAATTTCTATAACCCATTTCCTGTACATCTTATTTCCCAGTTGCATGTGAAAACAATTCTAAAAATTTGTTTTTAAAACTTTGGGTTCCAGATTTTTCTCCCTTCCTCTCCCCACCCATCCTCATTGAGAAGGCAAGCAACTCGATACAGGTTATACATGGGTTGAGAAGTTTAGAAACTGCCAGCGTTGCCCATGATTCAGTCCTCTGAGGGGCTGCTCCAGGTTCGCTGAGGCCTGTTTTGCCTGCTTGCCCACACGAAACTGCATTCCTCTCCCAGCCAGAGCAATATATCTTTCCCATCAACCATCCAGGTTGTCTTGGGCCAGAAATTTGTTTCACTCTGTCTTTTTGTGGTTTCTACTGCTTTAGAATTTGTTTAGAGCCATTTTTTATAGATATTTGGAGGGGTTTGGGGAGAGCTCAAGCAAGTCACTGCTTTTACTTTGCCGTCTTGGCTCCGCCTTCTCCTACATGTAAAATTCTTAATCCAACTAAGTCACAAAGGATGTAGTAGCATGAGTGCCTATAAGCTAACTACCCCATAAATTATAAGGCTTCATTGTAATATTATTTTTGATCCAAATGGCAATTCAAAATGGTTCCTCACTATACTAGTATATATTACTTAATCAAAAGTCATCAATACGGTTCATTTCTTTTATACTTCCCTTTATTAATGGAATTTGCTTTGTGAGGAGAAGGGCAGGGGCATAGCAGCATTAGTTCTATTTGATTTCAGGTGTGACTCATAGGTAGCCAATTGTATTGCAGGGTGTCATAGCCAGGCTCAGAATTAACCAGGTAGGAAGACGTCTTATTTACCAAGATGGAATTCCTACCTTTACCTTCACAAGGTTATTCTCTCAACTTTCCCAGACACAGAAACAAACCTGTGGCAGTTCTCAGACTGTAGGGGTACGTGGCATTTCCCTTGAATGATGAACCAGCAGCCTTATGAAGGGTCAGATGCTTATACCTGCACTCAAGACTTAAAATAGCAGCAAATTAAAGTCCGAAGTGAATGGGATGTCCCAGTGAAGATTTCTCAGTGTAATTGAGGTTTGGGATAAATCTGGTAATGAGTTCAGAAGGTAGGATAGGGTTAAGTATAGATTTCTATAAGGGTTTTTTTTTTTTTTGCCATATAACAGCAGTTAAAATTTGTCTAGTTGTTAAGCCCTGGCCTGCCTTCTGATCTTATCCAGATGCACCTTTTGTCCCAAGCCCCAGAAAACCCTCAAATTTTTCAAGTCCCCTTATCTCCCTTTGACAGGATCTTACTCAGATGTCTTCCAGTTCCCAGCATTGTCTGTTCAATCCCTAAGACCTTCCAAAACAATTGTAAATTATCTTTTTTTGGTGGACTGGCACCACAGTACAAAGTCTAGCCTAACTGCACATATTTTATTGCTTCCTTGACATTATCTCAACAAACTAAGAAATATAGAGATGTATGTTATGTCCTTTGTCCTGTGTTAGAATCTCAAGTGTAAAATTGTGAGCCAGTTAACAGACAGCTGAGGGGAGGGGAAATGTAGGCTATTTAAACTGACTTCTGCTTCTGTGTCGGTGTCTCCCCTCATCAGAGCTTACTGGTGGAGGGACACCCAAATCTCGAGATTTGAATAATAATAATAATAATAAATTAACTTTCTGTTTCTCCTTGGACACCTCTGTGTTTTGTTTTATTTTTAATTTGAGTGGCATCCCACACACAAGGGACTCTTCCTCAAACAGCAAAATTTCGCTGATTACAGCTTAGGGCTAGATAATTGTTATTTTTCTCATATATTAGCCTCAAAATTTCATCTAGAATTTTTTCATGTATTCAAAAATTTCATCTATTCATAACTATCATTCACAAATTTCATTTTTACTCATCTATTCACAGCTGTCATTTGCAAATTTCATTTATTCATCCATTCACAACTATTATTTCCCCCTTGGTCTGTAGATAAAGCCAAAGGGAGAACATTAGGCCATTTCTAAAATACAGTGAAATGATACCTCCATAGAGTCCATGTAGACAAGTGGGTCATATCTGGGCACAATTTCCTTGGTGAAAGTTATGATATCAGAGGGAGCTGTGGCTTTAGAACTAGGGAATAGTTCAGCCTTTGGCAAGGACTGACTTGGGCACAATAATAATCTTTTTCTACAAGTCCTCAAAGAGGAGTGCAAGCTAGCAAATGTCCACCAGTGGATGTGACTTAAAATGCAAACTAATTAAAAGCTATACAAGTTGGACAAGTGGCTGTTATGCAAGTTGCCATGGAGGCAGGTGGGGGCAGGGAGGGGGGGATGACCCATTCCTGTCAATTGAATCTATTATCCTTTGTATGCCACAGTGGGCCCCCCCCATCCCCCCAGCCATGGACTGGAAAAGTATACCTAGTTGTAGAAGTTCTAGGGAGAAGTGGTTTACATTCCTCAGTCACTCAGACCCAAGAGACCTATTTAACATTGTACTCCTGTTTCTGTTTCTTCACCACATATTCATATACAGTGGATAGTTGGTTCAAAATAATATCAAAAGATACAATTATGAGTTTTCAAGTGTTCCCAAATGACATCCACTTACTATTCAAAAGTTTCATTTCTCTAGTTTGGGTGAGAGAGATCCCTGTTCCTCAAATAGCAGTGCTGTAGAGTTTCAAGACATCCTGTCAGCAGGGCTCATCCCAACAAACCTAACAGACAAAGATCTCCTAAGAAGATTTTGCCATGCTTTTCTCCCAACAAGAAATCACTATCATTATTATTATTTTTGAGTTTTTTTTAAAACAAAATGTACTCTGATATACCAGATATATACCAAATATATAATATAATATAAAATATACTTGATATACTTATAATGTAATTATTCTGATTGAAAAAGAGGAAGAAACTTGCTTTAACAGCTTCTCTTAGCCTTCTTGTAGTAAAAACATCACCAATCAGGTGATAATAATTGAGTTAAATACCTTTCAACCTTATCAATTCATAGAAAGTCATTTATCGTATTACACTTGGTATTTTCATGGTAATCATAGCAGTTTATGCAGTGCCTACCACGTGCCTGGCTTCTTCTATGTCTTAAAAGTTGCTTAAATCTGTTTTTAGTAGTACTTTAAAATGTTTAGTATGTAATTTCTCAATTTTGTTAACTTTGGCTCAGATTCTTAAAATCTAGCCACTGCTCAGATTCTTATAATCTAGCCAATAGCTCTCTAATGTTCAGATTCCTTAAGAGCCTGCCCAATATGATAGATGTTCCAGTAAACCTTGTCTTTAATGAAAGAAGGCTTGGGTCAAATTCTTTCAGGCAGGATCCATGTTTTGTGATTTTGGGGACCCAGCACCACTAAACCTCAACATTTTGGTGGCCCATACAGGGAAACTGCCTAACCCCAAGTTCCTTCTCCAGCCAAGACTGGAAGGTATGTAAGTCTCCCCCTATCCTTCTTTCTTGCCCTGCAGTTGGGGTCACTCTCCAAGCACCTAGGAAGGCTTGGAGGTGCTTTTTGGGCAGATACTTAGGATGCTGTCTCACACTCGTGCCTGATGCCCTAAGGCTTTCGGTCCACTGGTTTGGTTCCAGGTCATGGACCTGAGTACACCTTCTGCAACATAGAGGACAAGGGCAGACTCCCTATCTAGAAGCATATGCCCAATTCTATCAATTCTCTGAGTGTTAGGGAATTGGGGAAAACTGCAGGTGCTTTTTGGTTCTCTGAGGCTTACTTACTCCCCTCTACACCCCTGAATCCTCCTTCATGGAGGTTATGGGAAAAGTTATAACAGCTAAAAACATCTTATCAGATTCTGGAAGTTTTGTTATTGATCATTAAGGAGTTTTGAAACACCTCTGTACAACCTGGTCACTCCCTTCTCTTGAATCAAGAGGATATCTGTTAACCCCTGTCATAGGAGAAGACAGTTTCACTCTTTTCCCCTCACCTTTGATTTCGTCCTCTCCCACCTGGGGAAGGGAAGGAGGGGGGGAGAGGCAGCAGCTACAGCATGGGCCCCCCTGACAGTGGCTCTGGGCCCTGGGGCAACTTTTGCTTGGAAACATCACCCAGGTTCAGCACATCCTGCTCAAGGTAAAGAAGCTAGTCTCCAAACTTGGGTAAGCACACTCTTTTTAAGTTGTAGTTTTAATTGTTAATGAGATGTTGATTCTCTTTGCAAAGTAATCTGGAAATGCATGTAACAAAATTGAAGTGACTTGATTGGTAATGGGTGTGTTTCAAGTTTCAAATTGGTGAACTTTTTGTATCAGTTATGTCAGGAAACTTTTCATAATTTGGTTACTGCTAAAATAATTTGGCTATTGTTGGTTATTGTTTTCAAGTGTACACTTGCCAAAAACTTTGGGTTTTGTCTTGCTGAGAATTTGCAAGTATATAGAAATAATCTCTAATGTTTGGCTTTTTACACCTGGACAAATTTAAGTTTGAGATGTAAATTCTGGAAAAGTTTTTCCTATGCTGTGATTAGTGAAACTTGCTCTTTGAGGTAAAAGATCATAGGATTTTATTTTGAGTTGTCTGATAGATCATAATCCATTGATAATCAATAATCCACCATCTGAGAGAAATGCCACAAGCTACTCGGAGAATATGATACTGGTGGGAAGTCAGAATTGGGAAAAGCTGAGAGGACAATTTTAGCCTCAGTCTAAGATGGGATCCTCCTGGCTCAGTTTCCCTATTATGTTCCTTTGAAAAGGAATGTTACCCACCTGGCTATTCCTGAGTCTGGCAATGAGGTGGATTTGACACTGCAGGGGTGGAAAACTTTTACCTGTAAA